CCGGTGATGATTCCCAGAGATGACCCTGACAACGCACTGGGGAAAAAGGACACAACATAGAACATGGCATTAAAAACATAAATAAGGTGAAAAAATACATAAAATGCCCTAACATAAACAGCTTGTAAGGGGCCTGTTGGGAAACGTTGGGTACTTGAATTATGGATTCATCAGTCACTGGGCCCTTTTATTTCACCAAAAGTTTCCCAATAACAACACAAACTGTATGGCATGGATTTATTTGGCCAAAGCAGTCATTTAATAAACAATAACCAATATATAAACAAAAAGCAACCACATTTTAACAATGAAGTTACCAGGAAGGGGGTCTTTGAATTGCTCTTTAGTATGTCCTCAGTTGCACCCATTAACTTCTTATTGAAAACACAAGGTGGGCACTACATCAACCGCTGAGCTCCATACTATGAGATGTGCCTACTTTACCTAAACCTCCTACAGATTTCCCAATGCCAGTGACCCTCTACCCATTTGACTGCCATGACATATGACTTCTCCAAAGACCCTAGTAAAATGATTTGGGTAGGTGGGGAAGACTACTTTCTATTTTTGCATTTTCTCCTGGAACGGCCAACAAAAGACTCACTTTACTTGTGATTTTTGTGATTCCTTACTACCCAAGCTATCACCTTCTGAAGGTAGGCCTGATCCAACACACTTTTTAACCTTTTCTTAGGCTTTAATTCCTCCCTTTGCCTGGCAGTCCTGGATTAAGCAGGGTTTAACAGAGGGACTAACTTCTTTGGTACACAGAAACTCAATCCCAGAAGGTCCCTGTGGCTACCTTGCAATGAATGATTAGAGTGGAGGCTCTGGCATGTGAACACAACATTGGGGCTGATCCTTGGATGGGCACACTGCTGGTCTCTCAAACTTCATCATAAAGAGTAGGCATGAGTCGAACTTCCCTGGGTTCGGTTTAAGCTGGGTTCCATGATTTTTCAAAGTAGTTCAGATGCCAATCCCATCTCAGTGGATGACATGACTGATTCTGGATTTACATGGGGGGGGGGGGGGGGCATTCATTGTTGGGTGTTTTTTTTTACTATTTTACTTTTTTTGTGGATAAGTAACAATGGGTACTATGTGCCCCATACTCATGCACGTAGGTGAAGCTAGATGTCTGGGGGTGCCCCTATTTTAAAGGGTGCTTCCAGATTCCAACAAGTACCCCTTGCAGAATGCCATGTTTACTCCAGGGGTGTGGGAATGAGGCCCTTGTTCCCATCAACAAAAAGGAACAAGGTGCCTTGTGGGGAAGTGTTTGCATTGCCCCAAAATACTCTTCCAAAGTTGAGGGCATGTGATCTGGTATGGTTCAGGAGGGGGGTGCACACTCAAATAGAAAATCAAAATCCAGACAATGTAGAAAATGGCCTTTATTAACCACTTCCTGTCTGGCCCATGTATATAAAAAAACGTCCAGATGGGAGCAGTGCAGAGGCGGGTGACCATTTATAAATGGCCTCCCTGCTCCCTGGGAGTGCGCAGCACTGCAATCTGGTGCCCGCAGTGTCCTCCGGACACAGTGGAACACCGATCGTTGTACGGGACCTCTGTGCGAGGTCCCGATCATGTGATCACTGATTGGCCAATCAGTGATCACATGCAGAGTAGTAAGCAAGATGTCACTTCTGACATCATTGCTTACTACATGTGAAATCTGTGAAAGATCACAGAGGTCACATGGTACAGGGCTATTCACAACAGCCTTGTACCATGTGACAAGCTGTGACCAATCACAGCTCACATAGCATTTCTCAATGGCTGCAAGAATGCAGCCAGAGAGAAGGAGAGATGATTGATTTTACAGCCTTTATGGTTGTAAAAGAAATCAGTGTAAATAAAAAAATCATCACCCCCCACAAGTAGTACAGTGTCACTATGGTGACACTGAACTGCTAGGGTGACAGTATGTAAAAAAAAAAAAAACACATAAATAATAATATAAAAAATAAAATAAAAATGTAAAAAAAAATTTAGAAAAAATTATAATTTTGGTTATAAACTAATTTGGTTATTTTTTTTTACTAAAAAGATAGCTGAATACATTTTAGCCAAGATTTATGAAGAAAGCTTATATTTGAAAAATTTTATAAGAAAAACACTTCTTTTCCAAATCTTGGGACTTTTTTTATTTATATAGCAAAACAAAATAAAAATCCCAGTGGTGAATAAATACCACCAAAATAAAGTTTTATCTGTCTCAAAAAAATGCTAAAAAATTCATATGGATACAGTGTTGCATGACTGTGCAATTGTCATTTAAAGTGTGATAGCGCTGAAAGCTGAAAATTGGCCTGGGCAGGAAGGGGGTGAAAGTGTCCGGACTGGAAGGGGGTGAAAGTGTCCGGACTGGAAGGGGGTGAAAGTGTCTGGACTGGAAGGGGGGAAAGTGTCCGGACTGGAAACTGGAAGGGGGGGAAAGTGTCCGGACTGGGAGGGGGGGAAAGTGTCCGGACTGGAAGGGGGTGAAAGTGTCCAAACTGGAAGGCGGTGAAAGTGTCCGGACTGGAAGGGGGGGAAAGTGTCCGGACTGGAAACTGGAAGGGGGGGAAAGTGTCCGGATCGGAAGGGGGGGGAAAGTGTCCGGACTGGAAGGGGGTGAAAGTGTCCAAACTGGAAGGGGGTGAAAGTGTCCGGACCGGAAGGGGGTGAAAGTGTCCGGACCGGAAGGAGGGGAAGTGTCCGGACCGGAAGGGGGTGAAAGTGTCCGGACTGGAAGGGGGGGGAAAGTTTCCGGACTGGAGGAAGGGGGTGAGAGTGTCCGGACTGGAAGGGGGTGAAAGTGTCCGGACTGGAGGGGGGGGGGGGGGGGGAAGTGTCCGGACTGGAAGGGGGGGGGGAAAGTGTCCGGACTGGAAGGGGGGGAGGGAAGTGTCCAGACTGGAAGGGGGGAGGGAAGTGTACGGACTGGAAGGGGGGAAAGTGTCGGGACTGGAAGGGGGTGAAAGTGTCCGGACTGGAAGGGGGGGGGGAAGTGTCCAGACTGGAAGGGGGGAAAGTGTCCGGACTGGAAGGGGGGTGAAAGTGTCCGGACTGGAAGGGGGGTGAAAGTGTCCGGACTGGAAGGGGGGGGAAAGTGTCCGGACTGGAAGGGGGGGAAAGTATCTGGACTGGAAGGGGGGGAAAGTGTCCAGACTGGAAGGGGGGGAAAGTGTCCGGACAGGAAGGAAGGGAAAGTGTCCGGACTGGAAGGGGGTGAAAGTGTTCGGACTGGAAGGGGGTGAAAGTGTTCGGACTGGAAGGGGGGAAAGTGTCCGGACTGGAAGGGGGTGAAAGTGTTCGGACTGGAAGGGGGGGAAAGTGTCCGGACTGGAAGGGGGGGAAAGTGTCCAGACTGGAAGGGGGGGAAAGTGTCCGGACTGGAAGGGGGGGAAAGTGTCCGAACTGGAAGGGGGTGAAAGTGTCCGGACTGGAAGGGGGGAAAGTGTCTGGACTGGAAGGGGGGGGGGAAAGTGTCCGGACTGGAAGGGGGTGAAAGTATCCGGACTGGAAGGGGGGAAAGTGTCCGGACTGGAAGGGGGGTGAAAGTATCCGGACTGGAAGGGGGGAAAGTGTCCGGACTGGAAGTGGTTAAAGCATTATATAATAACAATGGAACTCCAGGAAAAAAAAAATGTTTTTTGCTTTTTAGATACCCTTTTTTAACAAAACTTTGCAAATTTGTGATTTCAAAAGACCAGTGAATTGAACATGGGTTAGTCTTTGGTCCTTGTGTCCTTCGTACCTATTTTTCTGGCACTTTTATTGTCAGCCTTATCTAAAATTTCAGTTTGTGTGTACTCTTTATCAAAATATCCATTATCCTCTGCAAACTACGTCCAGCCACAATTTGATTATTATATTTATACAGTATGTGAAAAACACTGTATAGCAAAGTAGTTAAAAAAAAGGACATGTTGGGTGACTCATGGTGAGAACTGGGGGTGACTCATGGTGAGAACTGGGGGTGACTCATGGTGAGAACTGGGGGTGACTCATGGTGAGAACTGGGGGTGACTGATGGTGAGAACTGGGGGTGACTGATGGTGAGAACTGTGGGTGACTCATGGTGAGAACTGGGGGTGACTCATGGTGAGAACTGGGGGTGACTCATGGTGAGAACTGGGGGTGACTCATGGTGAGAACTGGATCTAGCCTTCTTGGGATATAGGAGAAATATAAATAATATCTATAGTTTATCCCTGTACAAATCATCACAGAACATAGGAGATCTGGCTTCTATCAGTAAGTTATTTTTGGTGACAGAAGTGCTTTGTACTTACGGAATCAAAGAGCCGCCGGTCACACCTGTGGAATAGACAGGACATTGAATTATCACCGGATACATGAGGACTGTCAGTATTGGACCCCGTGGACTGAACACAGATGGTGATCTACGTTGTACCTAATTCACTTCTCTCTGCAGGTTATATCCTCCCAATGTGTAAAGATTACACTCCTCAGGGGCGGGGCTGGACAGCGATGGCACTTACATGGTGTTTTTAGGCTACAACTTTTTCTATCATAATAAGATAAACACACTTTGTAGCAGAACTGTTCATATATCAAGACAATCAGAATCAAGGAAACTGTTACTGGAAATATGGCGGCTGCCAATACTGACCTTTCCATCTGAAAATGCTGGATCTTAGTGTCACGTAACATTTTACTTAATCAATCCAAACAGGAATCAGGGCTCCGACCCTTCATCAGGTTTAATAATTTGTTTTTATACAAATAAGGGTCCCACCTGTAGCACAGATAACAGAGCCCCCCCCCCCCCATATAAAGAGGAATGTTGCAGTAGAGACTCTATAACCCAACTCACCTTCAGTGACTCCAGCAAAAGCACATGATGACGTCTCCACCTGCAGGAGAGATGGGATAGTCTATTTACCATTCTCTGTATATCATCTTTAACAAACAACAATATTATTAGATCTAGCTGATATATAGTGCTTTCTCTTGTCTTTACTATACTTTTTTCTATTAACCACTTCAAGTCCGGACACTTTCCCCCCCTTCCAGTCCGGACACTTTCACCCCCTTCCAGTCCGGACACTTTCACCCCCTTCCAGTCCGGACACTTTCACCCCCTTCCAGTCCGGACACTTTCACCCCCTTTCCAGTCCGGACACTTTCCCCCCCTTCCAGTCCGGACACTTCCCCCCCTTCCAGTCCGGACACTTCACCCCCTTCCAGTCCGGACACTTTCCCCCCCTTCCAGTCCGGACACTTTCCCCCCCTTCCAGTCCGGACACTTTCACCCTCTTCCTGTCCGGACACTCCCCCCCCCCCCTTCCTGTCCGGACAATTTCACCCCCGTCCAGTCCGGACAATTTCACCCCCTTCCAGTCCGGACACTTTCCCCTCCTTCCAGTCTGGACACTTTCACCCCCTTCCTGTCCGGACACTTTCACCCTCTTCCTGTCCGGACACTCCCCCCCCCTTCCAGTCCGGACAATTTCACCCCCTTCCAGTCCGGACACTTTCCCCCCTTCCAGTCCGGACACTTCCCCCCCCTTCCAGTCCGGACACTTTCCCCCCCTTCCAGTCTGGACACTTTCCCCCCCTTCCAGTCCGGACACTTTCCCCCACTTCCAGTCCGGACACTTTCACCCTCTTCCTGTCCGGACACTTCCCCCCCCCCCTTCCTGTCCGGACAATTTCACCCCCGTCCAGTCCGGACACTTTCACCCCCTCCAGTCCGGACACTTTCTCCCACTTCCAGTCCGGACACTTTCCCCCCCTTCCAGTCCAGACACTTTCCCCCCCTTCCAGTCCGGACACTTTCACCCCCTTCCAGTCCGGACACTTTCCCCCCCTTCCTGTCCGGACACTTTCCCCCCCTTCCTGTCCGGACACTTTCACCCCCTTCCAGTCCCGGCCAATTTTCAGCCTTCAGCGCTGTCACACTTTGAATGACTATTGTGTGGTCATGCAACACTGTACCCATATGAATTTTTTTAGCATTTTTTTGAGACAGATAGAGCTTTATTTTGGTGGAATTTATTCACCGCTGGGATTTTTATTTTTTTTTGCTATGTAAATGAAAAAGTCCAAAAATTTTGAAAAAAGAAGTGTTTTTCTTAGAAAATGTTGCAAATAAATAATATTTCATCATAAATCTTGGCCAAAAATTATTCAGTTACCTTTTTAGTAAAAAACAAATAATCAAAATTAGTTTATAACCAAAAATTATAATTTTTAAACATTTTGTTTTACATTTTTTTTAATCTGTTTATATTATTATTTATTTATTTAATTATTTTTTTACATACTGTCACCCTAGCAGTACAATGTTACCATAGTGACACTGTACTACTTGTGGGGGGAGATGCAGATTTTTTTTTTTTTTTACACTGATTGCACCCATAAAGTCTGTAAAAGCAAATATTTCTCCTTCTCTCTGGCTGCATTCTTGCAGCCATTGAGAACTACTGTGTGAGCTGTGATTGGTCACAGCTTGTCACATGGTACAAGGCTGTTGTGAATAGCCCTGTACCATGTGACCTCTGTGATCATTCACAGATTTCACACGTAGTAAGCAATGATGTCAGAAGTGACATCTTGCTGACTACTCTGCATGTGGTCACTGATTGGCGTGAATGTCAAAAAAACTGCCGACATTGCCCGATAATTAAAACATTAAAAAAAAATGACATGGGGGACCCCCCAAAATGCCTACCAAACCCGTATTCATGCATGCCGCCCGGCACGTCAGGGAAGGCGAGGGATGAGCAAGCGCCCCCCTCCTGAACCATACCAAGCCACATGCCCTCAACATGGGGGGGGGGGGTTTGGGGCAGGGGGGCTCACCCCCCCAAAGCTGCTTGTCCCCATGTTGCTAGGGACAAGGGCCTCTTCCCCACAACCTTGGCCGGTGGTTGTGGGGGTCTGCGTGCAGGGTTCTTATAGAAATCTGGAAGCCCCCTTTAACAAGGGGGTCCTCAGATCCCGGCCCCCCATGTGAATGAGTATGGGGTGCATGGTACCGCTATCAATTCACCAAAAAAAAAAAAAGTGTAGTGTAAAAATGACAGGAGGCAGTCTTTGACAAGTCCTTTAACCACTTGCCGCCCAGCCACTGTAGAAATACGGCGGCAGGGCGGCACGGGCAGGCAAAACCACGTTTTAAAATGTGTGTTTTGTAAACAGATAGGGGGCACGTGCGAGGCGCGCCAACGCCCTATCTGTCCCGCCGATCACCGTCGTGGATGTCAGTAGCCGGGTCACAGCCGGTCCTTAGCCGCTGTTTCCCGGCGATCGGCAGTAAACAGTGACAGAGAGCACAGCTGCAGTAGCTGTGCTGTCTATCACTTCCCTGTCAGCTCGAGGACGAGCTGATCGAGCCAGAAGAGTTTCTCTCTCTCGATCAGCCTTGTCCCGCCCAGTACACACCCCGCCCCGCCCCCTAGTAAAACACTCCCCCTCACACAGATAACCCTTCCCTGCAAAATAAAGTTAACCCCTTCCTCCCCAGTGCCATTAGTACAGTGTCAGTGTTTTTCTTTTTGCACTGATCACTGTATTAGTGTTTTTGGGGATGTCAGTGACCCCAAGTCAGTACCCCCCAATGTCAGAATGTCCTCCGCAGTCCCGCAGTCCCGCCATAAGTCGCTGGTTGCTGCCATAAGTCACTGATCGCCGCCATAATTCACTGATCGCCGCCATTATTAGTATAAAAAAAACCTAAAAATCCCAGTATCTTTCCCGCCATTTGTAAACGCTATAACTTTCACGTAAACCAATTAATTTACACGTATTGTTTTTTTTTTTTTAGCAAAGACATGTCGCAGAATGCATTTTGGCAGAAATTTATGACTAAATTTGATTTTTGCATTTTTTTTTTACTGGACATGTTTTATAGCAAAAAGTCCAAAATATTGTTTTTTTTTCCTCAAAATTGTCAGCCTTTTTTTTTATAGCGCAAAAAATAAAAACCGCACAGGCGATCAAATCCCACCAAAAGAAAGCTCAATTTGTGTGGAAAAAAGGGAGGTAAATTTCATTTATGTACCATATTGCATGACCGCGCAATTGTCCGTTAAACTAGCGCAGCGCTGTATAGCAGAAAAATGGTGTAAATTGCAGTATCTATACCATAGTTTGTAGACGCTATAACTTCACACAAAGCAATCAATATACACTTATTGGGATTTTTTTTTTACCAAAAACATGGAGCAGAATACATTTTGGCCTAAATTTATAACCAACTTTGAGTTTACTATATATTTTTTATAGCTGAAAGTAAAAAATATTGTTTTTCTTTTTTTGTTTATAGCGTGAAAAATAAAAAGCGCACAGGCGATCAAATACCACCGAAAGAAAGCTCTATTTGTGTGAAAAAAAGGACGTAAATTTTGTTTGGGTGCAGCATTGCATGACCGCGCAATTATCAGTTGAATTAGTGCAGCGCCGAGTAGCAAAAAGAGGCCTGGTCATTAAGGGGGGTAAATCCTCTGGAGGTCAACTGGTTAATAAAAACAAAAATAAAAAAATGTTCCTTAAAGTAGATCCAATGTCAATCACAATGCCCTCTGCCGCCACCGCCAACCTGAAAAAAAAGAAAGAAAAAAAATGCTCTGCTCTTGACACTGGCTCCCATCGTCTGACAATTTTTAAATTCTGTGACGTCATCATGCGCTGTGATTGAACAAAGCAGTGCACCTGATCTGTGGTCAGGTGCATTTCTTTGGCCAATCACAATGCACTGTCAGGGTGCAGTGCATTGTGGGGCGCGGTGGGCGAACAGTTCAACTCAAACATAAAGCCCAACACTAACAGAGACTATCGGCCCTCATTCATGGCACTCACACACCAGGAAGACATCAGTATAGACATACGTGTTTCCAGCGGCTGGTGACCCGAATGTAGACGGTGTATTTGTGGTTGGAGATAAGAGGAGCATTGTGGAACCCATTATAATGGTGGTCATCCCCCAAGGTGAAGTGTAACGGACATGTAAAATTTATTGTAACGGACATGTAAGATTTGAGTGGAAATATGGAATCATAGCCATGACAGGTGAGTAGATTAGATTATGTCACGCCCTTTCATTACAAAGGTGTGTGCAGGAACAGTCTGGTCATTAAGGATGTACATTGAGCCCCTGGGCAGTAGGGAAATGAATAGAAGGTACAAACAAGGGGTCTGGGATCAGATGTGTATGTATACACAATTACTCCATAGGCCTTACAGACCCAATCATCATTTAGCATTAATTAGTCTAAAGCCAGGTTCCTGGAGGTGACAACTTTTGTGTGTCAATCAGGTTATCACCTTCTAGGAAAACCAGTGACAGCAGACAGACGGTCTGCCTTATGTGGAAAGCTCTATAAGTAATATTCACATCAAAGAAGTATGTTTAATCTCTTATAAAAGATGAAATATTAGTTGGAGAGATATGAACAAGCTTTCTTTGTGCAGGCCATTCTGTGCGCTACATTTACATATAAGAATCATATTTGTGGCTTGGGGAGGAAGCCAGGGAAATGCATGGAATGATTAGATGACGCGGGGGTGCGACAGTCCGATGGTGTTTGGTACTGTTGCGATCGGGCTGATGCGCCGGTGTCAGAAATCCAATCCCCGACTTGGTGTTCAGGCCAGTCTCGGCCCAATTGAACTTGGGCAGGTCCATACACAGTACCTCTTGTGGGCAGGTCAGGATCAACTCCCCCAGAGTCAATTGGCCGAAGACTAATGTCCCGCCCATGTCCAAATCGCAATAAATTGAACGCACGGACATTTGGACAGGGTGATTCGTACGGAGCTGGTTCGATTGACTAGCGGATTGCCAAGTTTCTGGCTTGCTCCAGCCGCAGGGTAAAGTGTTATTCTGTCTTTTTATTCCCTTTTATTTTATAGTAATTAGTCATTTGTGTGTCTTCTTATATCTTTGTATTTGCTGTAACCTTTTATCTTTTGTACATATTTTATGCACTGCCCACTTTGGGAAATTAAATCTTAAAATTAATTAGTGAACTTCTGTGTACTTAAGCACGTGCTCATATCTTCGGAGAGACTAGATCGGTGAGACTAGATTGGAGAGATTAGATTGGGTTATATTGTATTGTATTTTAGTGCCTTTAAAACGCTCGGTTAAGCTCATTGCCAATCTGTATGCAACTGCACTGTGAGTGGGCAGATTGCACGCAGATTGCAAAGGTAACAGATTTGCCAGGCGGAGATCTGTGTGTGTGGTGTCTCAACAGACCGTTCTGCGGATAAACTGTTGGGTGGTGGCAGGCTACCTTTGTGGTGCGTCTGGTGTGGGGGGG